GCTCCATTCTCATTTTCTCTCTATTATATAAGCTTTCACCTGATTAAAACTTGACAGCATCTCAATGGAAGGTCAAAATGTGTCGTTTATTATAATTAGTTTTCGTCATACAGTTTTCAAAATAATTTAGGAGGCCAGAATAATTTTATCGAAAAATTTATAAATTCTAATATCCTAACTGCACATTTTGATTACGCGCCCAAATCACTTTCGGGAAAGCACGTCATGTGACTTGCTGATAAAATTATATGGATACAGTAGCAAGTTTGAGCTAATTATAAACAAGAAACGAACGAAAACATTTTTCAAAACTTTGTTGTCGATTTTTCATTTTTTGAACATTTTTATGTAAATTATATCTTCTCACCTTGACTCTATTTTCTGTGACCAAATATCTAACAGAACTGAAAAAGAATCAAGTGTTTTCTTTTCAACTACAAAGAAATCAATTATGAACACAGAGGGGAACGGGAATGAAGAAATATATTAAGAACAACATCCTTCGACTTTCTGAAAGTTAAAATAACAATTAAGAAATGCTTGGTTATAATGAATTAGTAACTTTGAAAAATTATGGAAATGCATTACCAAAAGCATGTTACGCATGAAATATCTAGTTAAGCTTCATATCAGTAATGTGGATTGAACCCACTTGTGCTCACTGAAGGTAATTCCCCTTGTGGGAGTTAAACACATAGAGTATGCTGTCCTTCATTAAAATTTCAAGACTGCATCAGTCTAGCTGGTGGTAAGACCAGGAAGCCATTGTGTTCAGTCGAAAAGATAGAGGTCTGCAGAATCCAATCGAAATTCACATAAACTTGTACTAAAATGTTAATAAACTTGATGAAATTAATTAAACATAAATTTTACTCTTCAACAATTTACTCCAATTAGATTAATAATTTGACGCTGAGTTTAAAGTAGCTGTAGGGAGCTAATTACGCAGATAAATTAACTGGAAAGACTTAGTTTGTCGAGGTTCTGGTTCATCTTGAGTTGGTACTGGTAGAAGTGAAAAATAGTAAAATACAATATGAAAGTGACAAAGTTACTGTTTTGTCATCCTTCTTATTCTACCATGATGCTGCATGATGCTTTCAAGTACAATTCCAAAAAAGCTCCCCTTTTTAACTCGAGATAAATGGAGCTTTGTTTTAAAGATTTTACACGCAATATTTTCATTGGGAGATGAATGAGAATAAAATGACATTAAAGATGAAATCTCAGCATTCATATTATTAAGTACTTGAAACTCACATTAAAACTGTACATATATGCGCGCATTTATATATAACAGTGCAGTTATATACTCGACATACCACTCGGGTTCTAATCAAGTGTTGTGTGAAATAATTACATTTGCCAGTAGCTGTGCAGTTCGTGTTTAGATCGCGTTGCCCTCTTTTGGTCAGTGGAAAGTTATTGACTCTCCTGTAAACGCATATTATATATCTCCGGCTCTCCAGCTACCTTTATGCAAAACTGATGACAACTTTATGCAACACGCAATATAACATAATACATAAAGTATCTTTACGGTTCAATGGATTGTTGAAAATTCATAAGCTCCTCATGTTTGCAGAATGCAGATTCATAAATAAATTACAATTTCTTCCTATTTTCAATTTCACATTTTCACACGACAAACAACTAATTTTTTTCTATCTCTCAAGTTTCTTATACATACTTTCTGGCTCTGAATTAAATATTATTATTATTATTATAAAGACTTAATTATATTGTGTAGCAAAGAATGAGAAAGTAAAGAAAAAAAAATAATAATCTAAAATCCGAATTAGCTTATTCTAATTATCATGAGTAATATGTACTAAAATAAACATGAACAGACATTTTCAAATGGCCACAAACAACTCGCAATGAGTTTCAAACTCATTAAAATTTAATCTCTTGTATTCCTAATTAATCCCTCGATAATTAACTAATAGCAAATTCTATTTTCCCAAACCTTTCATTCGTTCCTGCATAAGTTAGGATTTCTACTTACCATTTGAATGAAAAAAGTCCACTTTTTCTTATCAAAAATAGAAAATAGATTTTAATTCAAAATTAGAAATATTCAACATTTATTGATCTTGTTACACAGGTAATTATGAACTGTTCGTGACACGCGGTGTAGTTAATACTTGAAAATTAAGACAATAATCTTTGATATAATAGTTTTATCTCGTTTTAAACTTATCAAGATTTGTGCCAGTTGCGTTATACATTCTCAGACATTAGTAAATATCTCCAGCCGCTAGATTTATGCAAACGTGCGATATGCAAATTATACAGATTATACTTTTACATATTTGATATTTTTGTAATTCTCTTTTTCATTTTAAAATTTTAACTTAAAGAAAGAGGTTTTTTTTAAAATTTATATAGAAAATTTAAATTTATCAATTACTGGACTGTAAAAGGGAAAATAAAATGTTTAATATTTTAAATCAAGAGATAGTTATGAAAACTGATCGGGCTTCACGCTGGTCAAACGCGAATTGAAAAATTTATCTCTTTCGTGGGTATATGGTATTGATTAACTTTTATAAGGGACCCGTGGGAGCCGCTGAAACTTGAATGCACATGAATGCTTTAAGCTTTTATAAATTTCCACTTATTGTCAGACATATTGTTTTATTCATTGTCATTTTACACTAACAACTCAAATTGTACCTTGAATATTTTAGAAAAGTAGTTTATTGATAAAAATACCTAATGAAACATAGAAAAGATTTGAATTTTTCCCAAGATAGTTAGTAAAATATGCTGCTGCTAATTTATTGATTAGTATTGTTTATTGTATTTTCTCTATCTCTAAGATAATTTATTTAAATTTTGAATATAAGTCTTGATTTATCATATTTTTATTTAGAGCCTCGCTGAATTCATCCTTTTTTATTAGGAGTACACATTTTATGCTGATGACTCGCGGTGTTTGTCTTGAGAAAATGGTAAACATCACGTCGAAGTATAGTTATGGTTAAAGGGTTCTTGTTTGTTCGCATGATAAACATAAAAATTGGTATACTTTACTTCAGGTCAATATCTTTTTACTCAATGCATTTGTCTACGACAAATGCATCGATGAAATATGCTTTAATTTACAAATAAATCAAGTAATGCTCCTGGCTAATGTTGCTAAACTATTTACCATTTGATTCTTTAGATTCTCCCTTCTTGAGAATGACACTCTTGTAAATGAAAATGAGAAGAATTAATATTTATGAAACACTGAGTCGAGTTTTAATAATTTGCAATTTGAAGGAGACCAAGTATGACGAGGGGAAAGTATAAAGCCATGAAAGATTAGAAAAAAGAAACATAAAAATGTTCAAGTTCCGGACTTTAGAAGTTGGTGGTTTCTTGTCTCATAGGGAGAATCTCAGGTTTCGCTGTCGCTCTCTCCCTCTCCTGAGCAGAGGAATGGGGTTAGTTTCCTGTCCAGCTGATACAATCTGGTGTGGTTTATGCAAGAAGCATTTTACAACAACGTTAAGTATAGTAAAGCTGAAATCCTCTCTAACACTTTAGTATAGTGCAGGTTAAAGTTCTTGTCGACCTCATACAAGCTTTTGTATATTTTCCATAAATATATATCACAGTCTGAGGAAAATTCGTTTAGTATGAAATTTTGCTTCCATACCAAGATTAACCAAAACAATTACCATCAAACCGTTTACATTTTCTCATTAATGCTTGAACCACAAATTTTCTACTTTACTAAATTTCATTGAAAAGACAAATGTTTACACTCGAAAGGTAAACTATACATAGTAGGCCAGTGAAAAGCGTCCAATACACGGAAACATACCCACAACTAACTACATGTATATGTAGTTCTAAACACATCTAAACTTTGAGAAAAAAATACACAAACATTTTTTTAAAAGTTAAAATTATTCCTCAGTAAAAAAAGTGCTTGAATGTAGTTTCGAGAGTCTCAATCTCAAGCAGGTTCAAGAAAAGATCATTTTCTATATATAACAATTTTTCACACGAGTAAATCTTTGTTGCACAAATCTGTCGGAGTGGATATCTCTATTGAGGAGAGTAGCGTTAGGAAGAGATTTGTGAAAAAGATAGTATCCCCTCGGAGAAGGAAAGAAACAAACAGATGGGTCATAAAAGAAACGATAGAGCGAACTCTACTTGTTCTCCTCCTTTGCCCTAAGTATTTCTTCTCAAATAACGAGTGATGACTTTTCGTATAAAAAGGAGAGCAAAAACTCCTGAAGAATGTGCAAAAGAGCAAATTGTCGCTTAGAAAAAAGGAGAGCTTTCTTTCCTGCGACAAAAGCTATTGGAGTAAACTCGTTCTTCGAGTCGAACGATTCTTTTCTGGATCAAGTCGTCCACTATATTAATGACTGGGGGACCGCACTGATTATCCAGTGAGACAACCAAACCCCTAAACTAAACGAAGCCTTTTACATCGACAGAAAATTGATTGCACTCAAAAGCATTCAAAAGCACTTTAGCAATAATAAGATCTTAAATTCAAACTTTCGATCAAAGATGCCATCATCTTCTACGAAAGAACCTTAATTTTTTAAATGGCCAAACATTAAACAAATGTTTAAACAAACAAACATTATCATATATTAAAATTTAAATACCCGATTTCTTTAATACCAAATAAAAGTTCTTGCACACTTTTGAAAATTCCTCTTCTTTATTTGTAAAATTTCGTTCGATGAAATTCCACTAAACCTAAATTCGAATTATTTCAATTAGTGAAAGTTTTAAATTACTGAAATTTGTGGTATTCATATAATTTTTCAATAAAATTCAACAAATTTAAATGAAACATGGGGCAAACGTTGAATTCAAAGGGAAATAAAGATAATTATTTAATTGTACATTACATACATTTCAAAGTATTGGAATTTTTCGATTGTAAGGCAGTAAGAAAAACACGAAACATGTTTGTGTTTTTTAGCGATGATGATTCTCGATGCATTTGTTGACGTAGGCATTCATTCTTTTGATTTCAGAGCCTTGCGAGAAAACATATTGTGCTTGGGGGGCAACATGCGTCGTTTCCGAGAGTGGTCGAGCTTCGTGTCTTTGTCCAATGGACTGTTCTTCGACGCCAGCACCTGTTTGTGGTAACGACGATGTCACATATACCAACCAATGTCATCTGCGTCAGACAAGTTGTCACAATATGAAAAACAATAGGGTGAAGCATCAAGGCCCTTGTGGTAAGTCCATTTTTATTAAAATTAATCTTTCGAGGGAAAAAATAATTATTAATAATAATAATTATTATTACGTTCTGTCGTATTTGAATTGAAACGTCAATGTAAGCAATGTCTGCCTTTGATTTCTAGTTGCTAGAAGTTCCATTAAAAACTAAAATAAGGGTTTATGTGCATTGTAAGTAGTTTTTCTTCTTTTGTAATATAAAAATAAAGAAGAAACCATGTAGTATATAAAAAAGTACGAAGGAAGATTGCATGTGAGGATTGAAGCGATCAAAAATAGGAAACAATTTCTCTTCAGAAATTGTATTGAAGTTGTCCACGAGAAAAAACAGCTTTATATATACGATAAGGAAAAAACAAAATATAATTTTGATACTTGGCTGATGTTAAGGAACTATACTGATACATAGATTTTTGCAAAGATTTTTAAGTTCGAAAGCAAAAGAGAATACCACTGATAATATATACGCAGTTAAAGCTGTATGAACCAGGTCTACCTTCTATTTCATCCCTTTTTTTCTTTCAATTTCTTTTTACATCCCTTCATCTTCTCCACAACCTTCCCATCCTCACACTCACACTCACACTCACATGCGAACGAAACAGATACTAGAAAAGTGATCTTTTATTCAAGTGAAATGTTCGGTTAGTTTTCCATCGCTTCTAGACTATAGTCGAATACTTCGGGGATTGAACTCTCCCCCCCCCCCCATTTTCCCCTGTGTGGTTTGAACGACTGGTCTATCGCTAATTTAAATTTCACCCAATGCAGTGGGACTTTTCTCATTTTATCGGATTTTATAATAAATTTACCAACATTAAATAAATTTGTCAAAACAATGCAAAACAATTGAAAAATTTATTTAAAATATTGCATCTTTTAGGTAGAATCTTTTGTTTTAAAAAATAGTAAACTTTTTTCTGGACCTTTTAAAGTGCTTCTAGCACATGGATTATAAAAGAGTCTAAATTCGTGCTAAATCCAAGGAAATGGAGAATTTGATCTGCCTGTAAAATATTAAGTTATACTTTCATCCACGTTTCTCATTCTTCCTCAAACAACTCGCGAAGAAAAGACAGAGAGTGGCTTGCTTTAATATTAACGCTACTCGAAAAATGCAAGCAAGTTTCCGTGTCTGCTATTCTTAAACTTCAATAAAGCAAACGTCTGAAACGAACTTTGTGAATCTGGAACATTTCTCTCATTTTAAACTGATGATTATTACTTTGCCTGAAAAAAAAGAGGAAACAAAATATATTTCATTACTTATTATATATATTGTAAAATATAAGTTTTACCTTCTTTCAATTTTTTTACTTGCATATCTCATTAAAAGTTTTCTTAACAATGCCTATTGTTCAACGAAGAAGAATAATAAGATAATTAATAAGATAATAAGATAATAAGATAATTAAAAAGTTACGCTCCTTATTCTTAAAAATAAAGAAAAATGTTGAAAATCTTATTTAATTAGATACAGTTTATTAATATTTTTCATCAATAATTGTATTATGTATATGCAAAAAATGAGAATAAGGAGAAAAAATATTGGCTTCTTCGAGAACGAAAAGATGAAAAAAAATAACTAAAAAAGACTCCAACGAAAGTGACTTATATTAATCTGGCGACAAAATCAGTGTCAGGTATTGACAAAGCTTCCAAACACCTGAAAAAAGTCCTGGCTGCCGTTAATGGAGCAACAATGGTTGCGGCTATCATTGGCAACGACGTGATCATCCCAAGCCTCTCTCAATAGTTGTCCAATATTTGTTGTCATTATTGCGTCACTATTGACTTCATTGCTTCTCAATATTGGATCATCAATGAGCCAATGGCTTTTCTATTGGGATATTAATAAATGAACGAGAAACGTCCAGAGATATTTTAATTTAAAGTTCTATTTAATTTAATAAATGATTAGGAATTCTCTCTAAAAGAGTACGTCAGTCTCCTATGATACGATGTAATTAACTTAATCAGAGACTATCATGGCAGTTCATTACACCTAAAGGCAACTTGCTAGAGCAGCGCTCAGCAAGAACAAGTTTTATCTCACTTATGCCGATGATAAATTACAAGTGGCCTTCCGGCGTGCTATCAAAATTGAATTTCCCGCTCACGTCCCTCTGAGACACTTCACAGCAAACTTTTCAGCTCGCGAAGCGTTTGATTTAATCGATTATGTCACGTCTTGACGCTCAGATTTCAAAGCGAATATAAATTATGCGCACAGTATGTATAAATAAACATTGAAAAGAAGAAAACTAGAAAACTATTAAAATTATGATTGGTAAAACGAAAGTGCTTCCGTAAATTTTAATCCAAATGTAGAATTCTTTTAGTATGACTGTGTGGGTGCAAATGTTGAGAATACAAAAGCCAATATTTCCCTAGTAGAAATTTGTCATAGTATCTTTAAGGGCACTGGACAGTTCCACTGGAAAATTTCGAGGCACTTTACAGTTAAACTGGCTAAAAACTATAAAGTGATGTCACGCTAATTTCTTCAAGTTATTGTCCAGTCAAATTTTACAGTTTCTGATCATCAGTCCTGTAGAAAAACTATACAAAATAATTCACTTGGAAATGTCAAAACTTTCTTTATATTGACGTTACGTATTAAACACGTACAAATTTGAAAATATAACGTTAAATTTTTTTGTCAACAAATTAAATAAATTAAAATTTTACGAAACTATATTTTTACTGTTGGTGTATCTATTGTTCCGTATAATAAATGATTTATAATAAATTATCTGTAAAATTATTTTTAAATAACTACATAATTAAAAAAAAATATAAAAATTACTGATTCTTGAACACATGTCATTTTTTTACATTAAACAACATTCACTTTTTCCTTTAATTAAGCACAACACTGAAATAAATATTATTATTTTATCACACTACAAACTTATAAGTAAACCCTAATATGAAGAATTAATTCAGTTCAAACGAAAAATATCTAGCGGTTTCGGGGAGCGAACTCGGGTCACACTGGGACGAAATACCTAAACGCACGCTTTACGCATCACGGCCGTTCTAGTCGATGGACGATTCCGGAAAAATAAGAACCATACTCTACCGGCAGGTAAAGCAGTTCCCTTTTTCATCTTTTCTAGCTCAACTGGCGAATTACTGGACAGCTACTGCATAACACTCTAAAGTTGAACTTATTGATTATTACTGTATAGAAGTTCTGTCTGTCCAGTTATTCTCATGGTACTGTCTAGGCGTTCCGTGAAATTATGTTTCAAAGTTTGTCGTGGCGTTAGCGCTACCGTCAGTCCAGCAACTGAACAGTGTTGTGTAGACATTTTCCATAAATACATCAGAGTATACACTGAAAGAAATAATTCGCGGGTGTAACTAGAATTATGTCTATTTTTTCCGTAAGGAATTAGTAATAAATTGTTACTGTCTACTGTCATTAATTATAGACAGTTCTGTTATTCAGATCGGAGAGCTATACATATGTCAACGTCAATTCATCAATGTAAAACATAACCTCACTTTATTGGACCAATTCTAACTTTTTGTATGTAACAGGTTTGTTAAATTAATATTTATACATATAATAAGAGTATATAATCTTGAAAAGAAATTGTCTTCTGAATTTAAAAAATTAGTTATTTTAATTAACTCAATTAATTGAAGCGAATTTTAAAAAAATTTTTTTTTTCTAAAGGAATTGTCATTAAAAATAAATTTTGATTGAAAAGAAATTTTTATTATTAAATCAAAATTTTAATATTAAATAATTTAAAAAATTTGTTATTTAGTTGTCAACAGTAAAATAAAAGAACAAAATTAAAATTATAAAAACTATAAACTGTAAAACCAAAAGATTTATTTTATAGAAAATATTTCGAAAATGTCAATACACAACTGTTTAGTTACTGAAACTGGCGGTAGCGCTAACGCCACGACAAACTTTGGAACATCATTTCTCGGAACGCCTCGACAGTGCCATGAAAATAACTGTACAGGACTTCTATGCAGTAATAATCAAGTTCAACTTTATATTTTCTTTAACAGTGTTATGCAGTAGCTGTCTAGTAATTCGCCAGTTAAGCTAGATTAAACTTCCATGACTAAAACTGTACAGTAACTTGAATAAATCTAGTCATGCCACGACAAATTTCTACTAGGGTTACATATCAAATAATAAATGATTCCTTTCAATGTTCTTTGGAAACGTAAAATTTGTTTGAATTTCAGATAAAAAATAGGGAACTCTTGCCAATATAAATGTAAGGTGTCTATAATATTTGAGGAATACAATAGACGTTCGAGGAACGTGGAATCGAATACACGAGGAGCGCTGTGGGTTTAGGGAAGGAGATGTTGTTTCCATGCATACATTAGGCAAACTGAGGCAAACTGGCAAACTGAGCTGAGTGCGGTTGGGTTCCTTAGTTTCTAAAGCTCCGCATGTACAATGTCACGTGGCAGAAACACGTTGGCCATTTCGTTCACGCAGTGGTATCACGCAGAGCTTCATATTTCCTCAAACAATATTCCATAAATTATACTGCACATCTGAAAATGTATTTTTTTCATTTATTTCCATTAAACAAAAATCAATAGGTGAGAGTCTTGATTCAATAAATAATTTAAATATCCTCAGAAAATGTGGGAATAATAATAAGCTTAGTACAATTTTCTAGGGGTAAAATTTATCTCTCTGAACATAGTAAAGAAAAAAAGCATCAAGAGAAACTGGATAAAATAAAAAGTTAATTTCTTCGTTTCCATATAGCTAGCTAGCGGCCAACCAAATATTATAATACAGGACCGACTCCAGGAAATAGAACCCAGCTGGAAATCCTTGAGATATTGGATCTCGTGTAGTAACGTACATGCACAAACTTTAAAGCACGTTCTTTGGAAGAGACTCGGTTTCATGTTTGAGATTCCGTATTCTCCCATTGATTTTTTGAATTCAAGATAAACAAGTAAAAATAAGATTTCAAAATTTTATTAAATTTTATTT